TAACTTCTAAGAGTCAGTCATTGGACTGAATTGATGTTTGTTTGTTTTGTATGTTGTTTTAATGTATCTATGTTGGTTTGTTTTTTTTATTATTAATAAAAATTTAAAAAAAAAGAATTTTTTGCCAACGTTAACAAATGTATGTAGGAAGCATATCACAGTAGTAATAGGAGACTATCCAGATATCAACTGGGAGACCAACTCTGCAGCAAGTGGGAGATCAAACAGACTCCTAACCAACCTAGTCGACAACTTTATCATCCAAAAGGTAGAGGATGGAACTAGAAGTAAAGCTATACTGGACCTAATTCTAATTAATAGAGAAGAAGTAATAGAGGGAGTTGAAATTGCTGGAACTTTGGGTAAAAGTGACCACATCATACTGGACTTCAATAAAAAAAGCAAACATAGAAAATAATCCAACCAGTGTCTTAAACTTTAAAAGCTGATTTTAACAAACTCAATGAGAGCATAGGAAAGATTCCATGGATGAAAATCCTAAAGAGGAAAACAACTCAAAGAAGCATGGAAAACTCTGAAAAATGTGATCATAAAAGCCCAGTCCAGCACAATACCACTGCAAAAGAAAAACAAGAAATTCAAGAAGAAATGAGAATGGCTACACAAAAATCTCTCTGACAAACTGAAATACAAAAAGGACAAGCATAAGGACCTGGCAGATGTTATCTCAAAACCATTGTACTATATCTTTCAAAAATTTTGGAGTACCGGGGAAGTATTTGAGGATTGGGAAAGGAATGATGTGGTTCCCATCTTCAAGAAAGGAAAAAAAAAAAAAACCAGACCCAGGAAACTACAGACCAATCAGTTTAACATCAATACCTGGGAAGATCCTGAAAAAGATAATAAAAAACATATTTGTGAACAACTGGAAGCAAAATTATAAATACTGTATTTTTCAGAGTGTAAGACGCACCGGAGTATAAGACGCACCTTAGTTTTTGGGGAGGAAAATAAGAAAAAAGCCGATTGGCAGGTGGATCAGCCTCCCGGAATAACCCCAATCAGCTGTTCCAAGAGATGAATTTTAGCAACAGGTTCCTTGGTTGTGAGCTCTGTGCCTTGCTTTTTTTTTTTTTTTTTTTTTTTTTTTTTTTTTTTCCTGCCTCTGAAATTTCTGAAACTCTGTTTCAGGAAAAACTTTTTTTCCTGCCTCTGAAAGCCTCCAAAATAGAGCTTCAGAAAAAAAGCCTCTGAAGCTTTGTTTGGGGCCTTCTTTTCTGAAGCTCTCTGAAGCTCTGTTTGGGGGCTTCTTTTCTGAAGCTTCATTTCTGATCCTTTTTTCAGCCTCTGAAACCTCCATTTGAGAAGCTGGGCGGGGCTGCATTTGGAGTATAAGACACACCCAGATTTTCACCCTCTTTTTTTGGGGAAAAAGATGCATCTTATACTCTGAAAAATACGGTAGTAACCAGCATGGGTTTGTTAAAAACAGATCATGCCAAACCAATCTTATTTTATTCTTTGATAAAGTGACTAAATTAGTAGACCAGCGAAATGCTGTGGACGTAGTATACTTAGTATATAGTAATGTATTTGACAAAGTAGACCACAATCTACTTCTTGGTAAGCTAGAACAGGGGTGGGCAATTGTGGCTCTTTTACAACCTGTGGACTTCAACTCCCAGAATTCCTGAGACAGCTTGGTCCACAGGTTGTAAAAGAGCCACAATTGCCCGCCCCTGAGCTAGAAAAATGTGGAATAGACAACATCACCATCAGATGAATTTGTAGCTGGCTAACAAACCATACTCAACAAATAGTCCTTAATGATACTACATCTACATGGAGAGAAGTAAGCAGTGGGGTACCATAAGGCTCTTTGGCCCAGTACTTTTCAATATTTTCATGAATGACTTAGATGAGGGAATAAAAGGGGAATTCATTAAATTTGCAGATGATACTAAACTGGCACAAATCGCCAACACCCCAGAAGACAAGCTCAGGATTCAAAAAGATCTTGACAAACTTGAACAATGGGCCTTTCCAGCAAAATGAAATTTAATGTGGAGAAAGGGAAGGTTTTACACATGGGCAGGAAAAAACAAAGGTACAAGTACAGATTAGGTGAAACCTGACTCAAAAACAGTAATTATGAGAGGGAACTTGGAATCCTATTGGATGATCACTTGAATATGAGCGAGCAGTGTACAGCAGTAGCAAAAAAAACCTAATATAGTCCTGAGTTGTATAAGCAGAGACATGGAATCAAAATCATGTGAACTATTGGTACCACTTTATAAAACCTTAGAAAGACCACACCTGGAATACTGCCACTAATTTTGGTCACCATACTACAAAAAAGATGTTGAGACTTTGGAAAAAGTTCAGAGAAGAGCAACTAAGATGATCAAAGGCCTGGAGACTAAACCATATGAAGAATGGCTGCAGGTTTTGGGTTTGGCTAATCTAAAGTTCAAAGAGAGAAGCAACCTGGAATTAAGGAAAAACTTCCTAACAGTGAGGACAATTAACCAGTGGAACAGCTTGTCTTCTGAAATCATGGGTACTCCATCACTGGAGGTTTTTAAGAAGAAACTAGACAGTCACTTATCTGAAATGATATAGGTTCTCCTGCTTGAGCAGAGGGCTGGACTAGAAGACCTCCAAGGTCCTTTATAGCTCTGTTCTATTCTGTTCTGTTCTATTATATTTCTATTTCTATTATTTCTATTCCAAAATCTCCCGCTTCTCTTAATTAAAAAGTGAAACTGTCTTTTAGCAGGTGGCTTAATATAATCTGTCATCATCACTTAGTCAGAAAGATTCCTTTTTTTACAGGGAAAATAGAACTTGCAGTATAAATTATTTTATTGGCAGGTAGAGTCATAGATTTGGCCTCTACAGAAAACTCTCTTTCATCCTGTTGTTTCACTCTCCTTTCCCAGAAGTGCTCCGAATTCTACATTCTGGCCCTGTGTTCCTGTCTTGATGTAGTTGCTTGGTTCTTAATGCTGCCATTATCTGTCTTCTAAGGGGATGCTTTTACCAGGTCTCCTCCTCCTTAACTCTGAGGTGTAGGATGGATAGGGATCCCATATTCTGTGCCCTCACTGCAAATAACAACAACACAAGCAAATAAAATTATAATATATTTTATAACAACACCTCCCAGGACTATAGTGTGTGATGTGTGATTAGGGCATGATGGGGTATCTAAAATTAATTCAATTGTTTTACATAATCATCTGGAAATATAATTAAGGTTGGATTAAAAAAACATAATGATGCTTACATAACAGATGGAGATCTGTTCCTGTTATAGAGGAAACAATAAATTTAAGGCTGATGGTAGAATGGATCTGCTATTAATATAAGACATTCTGCTGCACAGAGTTCCCAGAGTGTCTCAAATATACAGTAACTGAGCTTGCATAAATAAAATAAGCACCAGAAACAAAAATAATGCTGTTAATTTTTTCTTTATTTCTGTTAATTAGTTTAACACATTAAGATAAAATAAATTGAGATTACACAAAATTGAGTGAGATAGCTCAAGCCTTAGGAGGTAGAAATAAAATTCAAAAACCACCTCAGATGGGTTACAGAAATTGGTGAAAATAAAAGGAAATGTCTGAGCAAGTAAGGAATTTCTTTGAATCAGGGGGATTCAATTTTACTTGTACAATTTTACTTGTTTTTTTAGTTTTCTAGAAAATCCAAGCTTAAATCTGGGCCTGAATATCTTAGCTTTCCCCTTCTTTTTATCCCAACACATCTTCCTTATTTTCATTCCATTTCCGCTCTCTCAGTTTCAAATAGGCAAGATTATTTTTTAAGTTGGACCAGAAGGGGTTAGGCAGACTATTTTCTTCTTAATAGAGCCAGAGCATGTCACATTGCTTGCTTTGAGGCAAAGCCAATGTGTTTTGGTTGTCTGGGATGAAAGACTGAGAGAAGGTTATCCTTACACATTGACTATTGCTGAGAATTATGGAAATTGACACCCCATCTTCTTGAGAGTTGCATTACTCTTAAAGATGCTGAGCTTGTCAGCTGGAGAGTTGACAGCCCAGGTTCAAGACCTGAGCTTCCATGCAACAGGGTGAGCTTCCGCTACTTGCCCCAGCTCCTGCCCAGCTAGCAGTTCGAAAGCATGCAAATGTAAGAAGATTAATAGGTGCCACTTTGTTGGGAAGGTAACAACTTAAATTGCACCTGTGGCATATAGCCATGCTGGCCACATGACCACGGAAATTGTCTTCGGACAACACTAACTCCCTCAGCCAAGAAACTAAGATGAGCACCATACCAAGAGTCGGACACGACTGACAGGGAAACCTTTACCATTACCATTTACTTTAAAAAAAAACATTTAAACTTAAATGACACCATAACTTTTATGACAGTTATTATTTGCTCTGAGCATATAATTCAGGAATGGCCACTCCAAAAATGTGTTCATTGTTAAGCCCTCATGCCTAAGTACATATTTCAAAAATGTATCTAGCTTGTTGTTGCTTACTCAAAATTCAGAATAGTGTTCTATCTCTGCCTTCTGATTCAGATAGAAGTTCATAAATGTGTATTAAGTAAGTCTACCAGGATGTATATTTCTGAAATGAACTCCAAATGAATAGCTTAAAGTCAAAGTGCAGTTTCTGAATCATGCAGTACAGTCTTCAATGGACTGATTTGCAAATTTGGAAAACTCATCTGTGTTTCTTTTCATATCACTAAACAGCAAGACTCCAAAGTTGAAAGGGAGGAATGTAGGAAAATAGGCTCTTTGGGAGCAAGTTGTCTAATTAAGTTGAGATGTTAGCTGCAGAAATCCAAGAAAACCGAAGCTTTAATAGCACATGGAAGAAAATTAGTTATTACCAAACTTGACACAGTTTCAAACTGTAACTAGATTACTGGTACTTTACCCTAATTGAATATTAAGAGAAGGCATAGATCTTTTCCCTCAGGAATAGCTGTTAGCCTTGGTCTTCAGATGGGATATTCTTATTGCCCTTTTTCTCTCTACTTTGCAGAGTCAAGCCATGCGCATTGTCCGAACAGTGGGGCAAGCATTTGAAGTCTGCCATAAATTGAGCCTTCAGCATACACAGCAGAATGCTGATGGTCAAGAAGACAGTCATAGTGAAAAGGGCAGCGAGGATTTGGAAGCATCAGGTAAAAAGACAACAATGATGGGAAAGGTTCTGTCTTTCTACAAACAGAAAATTGAAGTCCTAGACAGATAAAAAAAGAAGTGGCAAAATTTTATTTGAGAGAAGAATGACTTTCCCAGAGCAGGTAGAAGAATGTCCTCACCCCTTGCATACAGAACTGAAAGAGTGGAGCTAATCTTTCTCTGTGGGCCTACTGGGACTTTACTTTTGCCTCTCCTAAACCAGATGTTAGGATTTTATCTTAGAGTCTGCCTATATTGCTGTCATAATTGTCAACGGTCTGATTAGCAAACCTAAGAAAAGTAAACACTCTCAGGGACTTTTAAATCCCCAAAACAAAACTTTATTGGATATACCATTTCAGCACTGAAGAATCAAAGCCAACTCTGGTTTTCCCACGCAATGCTTGTATTGTTAAACAATGGCTTCTCCTTCTCCCCGCTCCCCACCCCCAGTTTGTTGACAAGTTGAATAGCGATAAAACCTAAATGTTTCAAAAGCAGTTCAACCTTGACATGCCGACTCCCTGGAAAGAAGGGGAGACCTGGAAAGATATCAAACATAGATTAATATCATTATTCATGTTCCTTGAGCCTTCACTCTCCCTCCTGGTTTTCCTGGTGCTTAGCATGGAATCTTCTCACTAATCTATCAGTGTCAACATCCTGTTCTTTCACCCATTCTGCTTCTGACATTGGGTACCCTTTCCATTATACCAGGTATTGCAATTTCCCTTTATAGTACCTTGAATCTAGAACTCTTATTAGTTTCATAGTGTTTCTCCCCTCCCATCCAAATGTAGGATGACAGTTCTCTTCCAACCAATGTCACGTTAGAGCCTTTAATGGGCTTCAACAAACTGCAGTGGAACACCGAGTGGACTTTTCATAGTAATCTAGGCAATTTTAACTCCATTGTGACCAAGTTGATGATGCACACAACCGGGAGAGCGCCTATGTATTTAGGACCCAGTTTTTTACATGGTTGCCTTAATTTCAAGTACTTTGTGGATAAATATACTTTATCCCTGATCTTAAACTCCCTCTGGGAGGCTCTCTTTTGTTTTGCTTGTTTATGTTTTTTCCAATTCTCCTGCCCTCACTAAAGCTTTCTGCACATTTCCCCAAGTGTTTATTATTATTTATTATTAGTTTGATTTATATGCCGCCCTTCTCTGGAGACTCAGGGTGGCTTACAATGCTTTTAAGCAATAGCCTTCATACTTTTGTATATACCTGCTTAGTAGGGCTTTTGGCCCCCCCTAAGCGGTGTTCTATTTTATACAAAGTCAGCTTATTGCCCCCACAAACCGGGTCCTCATTTTACCTACCTTGGAAGGATGGAAGGCTGAGTCAACCTTGAGCCTGGTGAGAATTGAACTCGCAGTAATTGCAGGCAGCCTGCAGCTAAATACTACTTTAACAGTAGTTTAGTCCACTGCACCACCAGGCTCCAAGTGTTTCTTGGAGTATCTATCCATTAGCATTATTGAGAAGGGAGGCTCCCTTGGGAATTCTGGCATGGACACAAACTCCATTCCCATAGCCACTTTGAATGGGGTAATGGGGATTTTTCTTGCTAAATGGATTTTTCTTGCTAGACTCTTAATTTTATTAGGGCATTGGTTGGAACCCTGACACCCAGTGCTGCTATGAACTGAGTTATTATAGGCTACTTCTGCAAAAGGCAAGTTCCCCCCAATTTGTTTGCTGGTATCACAGCGTACCCTGTTTCCCCCAAAATAAGACCTGTCCCAAAAAGAAGACCTAGCATGTTTTATGTGTGTGTCTAATATAAGCCCTACCCCCCCTGCCCAAATAAGCCTTACTTAAGAGTCTGTGCAGCTGGCACCTGTCCATTCTGTCTCATTGCTCACAGTGCCACAGCCATGAGGTGAGGTGGGGGGGTTGGAGCTGCCCCACATGCCCCATACTGGCTTACCTCAGGGCCCCTGCAGCCAGGCCATCCACTCCCCAACATCTGCTTCGCAGCGGTAGTACCGGAAGCCAGCTGTCAGGGTTCTGACCGATGCCCTAATGAAAGCAGGAGCCTCAAGCAAAGTTTCAAGAAAAAACCAGTTGTTTATTAGGAGCGCCATGTTGGCACAGACCAAGTGAAGCCAGCTCTGACTTCACTCAATTCACACTGGCTCCTGGAATTCCCTGGGTGGGCGTAGGTTCTGCCTCCTTCTGGGTTGCCAGGAGCAGGCTTTGGAGATTCCACCCTCTGCCCTGGTGGCCTGAGATTCTCTCCATGCACCCCAGGTATTGGAGAGCAAGTGGAGAGTCTGGGGCTCAGGAATCCCGGTCGTGTTGGTTAGTTTTGGCAGAGCTGACTTGCTGTCAGGGTTCTGATCAATGCCCTAATGAAAGCAGGAGCCTCAAGCAAAGTTTCAAGAAAAATCCAGTTGTTTATTAGGAGCACCATGTTCGCACGGACCAAGTGAAGCCAGCTCTGACTTCACTCAATTCGCCCCTTGCCTCTGACCCTGTTTCCCCCCCCCCAAGGTGTACAAAGCAATTTCGCAGGTCGTAGAAGTCACTCCCTCCAGTCATTACTGGTTTCTGTGGAGATGGCCTTGACTTTGGCTGGTTAGGATATGTTTTGTTTTGACTGAGGTGCAAATTCCTTGATGCAGCTGCGAGGCTTGATTCCCCATCCTGCTGCCTATGGCAACTCAGGAGCAGGTCAGGAAAGCTTCATGACGCCATGTGCAGCAGGAGCCCATGTGACCACTGGCCCACTTCTTCTGTTTGCGGCTGCAACAGAGCAGGAGGCCGAGCGGCATGCAGGTGCCACAGCTGTGTGGTGTGGCAGGTGTCAAGCCGTGGATGGCCTAGCTGTGAGGGCCCTGAGGTAACCCAGTGCAGGGTGCATGGGGCAGTTCCATTTGCCTTGCCTCGTGGGCTTCCCGTACATGGAAAAAAAGACACACACACCCCGAAAATAAACCCTAGTGCTTATTTTGTAGCCCAAAAGAAAATAAAATTCGGTCTTATTTTTGGGTAGACATGACTGTTGCATTGGTCTGTTCCGCCGCCCTGTTAGTGCTCAGATGGAACCCTGAGCTAAGCCCCTGGGAGAAACCTATCGACTTCAAAAACTCCCACTAGAACTTTGCAGTGAACTTGCACCCCTTGGTCTGAGATAAATACATTTCGGAACTCCATGTAGCTGGTAGATGTGTTGTATGAACAGTTTGGCTAGCTTCTGGGCTGACGGAAGCCCACGTGATTGTCCAAATTACCATGCTTACCCCAATCACCAGCAATTCCATAATAAAATCCATGACAATATCTTCCCATGGTGGACTAGGTTCAGCAGCCCAGGGATCTTTCCTGGCATTAGCTTCATAGACACAGGCACTGCGCAGCTCATTACGTAGCTTTCTATGTCCTTCTTCATCTTGGACCACCAGAGCTCTCTCCTGGCCCAGGTGGAGGGTCTTTACAAAGCTGAAGTGGCCAGCTGTTTTTGCATCATGGCTTCAGTGTAAGATCTGGGTTCTCTGACTGACCGGAATGTACAGTTTGTCCCAGGCCAGGTTTTCTCTCATTGTCATCTCATCCCGATGGGCTTGGAAGTCATCTTCCTGTAAGGCTTCTCTCAGTCAATGAATCAACCTCTCATCTAGCACCTGAGAAGTGCTTGATGGCCATTGCCCCTCAGAGCTTTTGGCTGCCAGCTACTTGGAGGGGATGATAGAGTTAACTATTTCCTCCCGGATGCTTTTGTACTGGGGCATCCGGGAGAGTGAGTCTACCAGAAAGTTCTTTTCTCCAGGCAAGTACTTAAGCATAAAATTGAATCTGTTAAAATATTGAGCCCATCGTACTTGCTTCAGAGAAAGCTTCCTTGGGGTCATCAGGGACTCTAAATTCTTGTGATCTGTCCATATTTCAAATGGGATCTTACTGCCTTCTAGGAACTGCCTCCAGGTCAGTAGTGCCCATTGGACTGCATAAGCCTCCTTCTTCCACACTTAGCAATGCCTCTCAGTGCCGATGAGTTTATGGGATGTGTAGGCAAATGGTTGCAGCCTCACTTCAGCATTCTTTTGAAGTAGGACAGCCCCCACCGCCACATTGCTGGTGTCGGCTTGTATGACAAACGGTTCGTCTGGGTTGGGATGTTTAAGGATTGGCTCTGCCACAAACAGTCGCTTGAGCGTCTCAAAAACCGCATGGCAATCCATGGCCTAGTTCAGGGGTGGGCAAATGTGGCTCTTTTACAACCTGTGGACTTCAACTCCCAGAATTCCTGAGACAGTCCAGCTGGCTCAGGAATTCTGGGAGTTGAAGTCCACAAGTTGTAAAAGAGCCATATTTGCCCACCCCTGGCCTAGTTCAATGGTTGACCAGGCTTGGGTTTTACTCCCCCTCTACCCGTCTTTAGCAGCTCGGTAATTAGCAGAGTGATTTGGGCAAATGATGGAACCACTTGACACCTGGTAACCCAAATAATCCAAGCTAGTTTTATGAAAGTCTTTCAATAGTTTGGCATAGAGTTTAGTGTCTAGCAGTTTCCTCAGCATCTCATGCACTAACTTCACATGCTCTTCCATCATTTTGGAGTAGATGAGTATGTCATTCAGCTATACCAGAACCCCTTTATATAGATGCTCATTTATCAATTGCATGAATAGGGCTGGGGGCCTCTGTAGCCCAAACGGCATCACTCAAAACTGGTAGCATCCCAGGGGGCAATTGAAAGCTGTCACTCATTTCCCTCTTTAATCCTTACTTGGTAATATGCTTCCCTCAAGTCTAGCTTGGTGAATATCTTCCCTTTGGATAGGTATTCCAGCATTCCTTTATGACGGGGAAGGGACACATATTCTTGACACACACTTCATAAATTCCATGGAAATCCACGCACAGTCTCATGGACCCATTCTCCTTGAAAAGTACAGGGGCTGACACCCGGGATTTCATTAGCTAAATGAATATTCTTGCCAGGTTCTTGTCCATAAAACTCCTCAGCTCCTCCATCTCCCTGGGGATCATTGCATACATCTTGTGCTGAAGCAGTTTCGCCCTCAATTGTACAGTTTGTGGGACAATGTGGAGGGAGCATCTGTTGTGACTCCGATCCCCGAGGCCGACTTATCGGAGGGAGAAGGCTCCGAACATGAAGGAGAGGAGTTGGCCAGGCCTCCCTCTCCAGGACCCTCCTCTCTGGCAATGCCTCAAGTGTCTCCCGAAGGAGAAGAGATTGGCCAGGAGCCAGGTATCTCCTCGCAGTTGGACAGTGATGGAGATAAGTCTTGGCTGGATCCATGCCAGCGTCGGAGAGACAGGCGCACACAGCAGAAAAGGAGGCGTGCCAGAGATTAAGCTGAATCACTGGACCACATCCCACGGGATAAAAGGGGGTGAGGTGGCCATTCAGACTCTGTGACAGACAAAACTAACTACTAGCGAGTCACATTGTATCTTTGAAACAACGTTATCTGCCTTGGATTTAATACGGACTGGACTTGACAATTCTTGAACTGTGTGTATCTTGTTTGGGTTTATCTGACGGAGGAACAGCCCCTCCCTTTATGAGTAAAGTTCTTGGCAAGCAGCTACGGGGTTGCTGCCAATCCTCTTATCGAAAGAATTTGTTGTCTGCCAGTTTTATTTAACCCTTGGCTATCTGTTTGTGTGCGTGTGTGAGATGGGGACAGAACAGCATCTTGGACTCTTCCTCACTTCCATCAGATTCCTGTACTCACTTGGGATGTGTGGCTTCCCCAACCCAGGGTCTGCCAGGGTATTCACTGGTTCGGCCCTCTCTTCCTCTCTCATCCACGCTCGACCCGTCCCTCTTATCTTTTCTACTAGCCCAGATTTCTTCCTCCTCACCTTTAAGCACTACTGGTCGCTTCCCCAATTCATTGAAGGGTTGCATTTTTTCAACCACAATAGTCCATTGCCTCTGCCATTTTTGGGGCCACTATGAATTGGATAGTCTCTTTGTTGCTCCCTGCTTTCATGCTCACTAGTCACATCAGGCATGTGGCAGGCATCCCCCCCCCATCCCCCGTGATTGAGCCATCAGCTTGCTTGAACTTCATAAGCTGTCTCAGCTTCCTTACTTATGTCTCAAACATCTGCAAGCTGACCAAGCAACAGCTGCAGCCCGAGTCTTATCAGGACGGTGAAACCCCCCCCCGGCTCCTGAGTGGCGCAACGCGATCTCCACTTGGGCAGTGAAGGGGGCAATGGCTCCACTTACCATTGCGTTGTCCTCCCCCTCACTGTCACTTTCATAGAAGGCCAGGCTGGGCTTGACAGGAGTCAGAGTTCCCTCTCCGCTGGATTGGGGAGAGACCTCCATGATCTGATGCTCCATCCACGTTTTCTCCTTTGCCTTATTTGGCACTTTCTTGGTCTTTGGTTGGCTCGGGACTCTCCGGGCTGCTGCCAGTTGTGGCACTGGGCAAGTAGCAGCCTGATGGCCCTCCTTCCTACACAGGAAACAGGCTCCTCCTGGGTGCCATGGGCTCTCCCTCAGGGTTGAGGTGGGAGCTCCCGGGATCTTCCGTCTGAAGCGAGCATCTCTCTTGGCTCCTGCAAGGTCAGTTCTCGAGCCCTGCATGCTGCTTGTATTCCATTAGATCTATCAGAGTTTGTTGCAGCACACACAATCAGACACAATTAAATGAACCTCAGCAGGATTCAAATTACATAAGAAACTTCTTTATATACAATACCATACAGGAGAATTCATCATACAATATCAGCAACACAGAAATAATATTCATAGAAGCAAGTAATTACAGAGTAGAGAGATACAGAGGCTAATATATTGTACAGAGGCACTCATTAAAGAGGCCAAACCAACTCTTATTTATAGTTCAGCAAGTCTAAGCCACACCCAGATTCCAAACTGTCTCTTATGGCCCCATACAAACAAATACTATGTTTCAGTTTCCAAACAGTCCTCAATGGCTGAATTAGGTGCTATGCCTATTCATTGGCTGACCTGTTACCATGTCTATTCCAGCTATGAACATTCATACTCTGACAAGATCTAACTCTACTGTAGTCACCAGTTGGTACTTGGCGTGGAGCTTCTGGGTTCCCTCGGGGCAGGCGGTTTTGGTACAGCTCGCAATTCAGTCCATCTTGGAACTGGTAGACTAGCAATTGCTCCGGCCACCCTCTCAGCTTCCCCGCCAGGCCTCGGAATTCTCAGATATATTCTGCCACTGGTCTGGCTCCCTGGCAGATGGTCCAGATCTCTGCTTCAACCCGGCAGGTCTGTGAGGGGTCCCTGAATCTGGCCCAAAGCTCCTCTGTGAAGGTATCAATGTTCCCAACTCCGGAACTCCTTTGTTGTGGAGGAACACTACCCAGTCCGCAACCTACCTTTCCAGACTCACAGTGACGGTGTTCAAGCATGCAACGTTGTCTGGATAGTTGGCCCCATACTGGTCCATGTGGCTTCACACTTGGTTTAGGACATAGGCTAACTTCTCTGGCCTCCCGTCGAACATCTCTCTCAAGGGAGGGGGTTCTCAGTTGTCCCGGATCAGCCCGTACCTGGTGGCACCCCCATTGCCTGTGGAATCACTTGTGCTTTCAGTCCCACAGCACCCCGAGGCACTTGGGATGGCATGGAGGCTTGGGCTTGTCCAGTTCCCACTGGACCTAGTGTTGCTTGGTACATTAATGCCTCTCCGCGCACCTCTGTGCACCTCCATCCCAATGAACCTCTCTCTCAGTTGTTCCACTGAAGGGCTGTGACATGACATCTGATACCTCCAGTCCATCGGTTCCTCCCAATCCACAGCTCTCTTGGTTTTCCACTTCAATCCCTGGGTCACAGCCACTTCTGGTGGGATCAGAGGGAACTCTGGCTCAGCGGTCTTTCCCACTTTACTCTGCCACAGATGGGGTAAGGAAGGTCCCACCTGGAGTTGCTGCTCCTTCCTCTCACACTACTGGCTGTTTCGTTTTCTCCACTCTCCCTTTGGATCGAGTCATGACCACTTGCACTCCAGAGTCCACCAGAGTCCAGAGTTGAAGGGGCTATTCCAGCCTTTGCTGCTGCCTGTGCTCTCCGCTCTCCGCTAGGCATTGTCCTTTTCCTCCCCTCACAGCACTTTTGGAGGTGACCGAGTAGGCTGCTCTGGGGTTGATGAATGAGAATTGGTTTAATGTCAGTGGTCCGATTAGCAAATCCAAGAAAAATGGACACTAAGGAACTTTTAAATCCCCAAAGCAAAATTTTATTGGATACATCATTTCGGCACTGAAGAATCAAAGCCAACTCTGATTTTCCCGTACAATGCTTGTATAAACGTTAAACAATAGCTTCTCCTTCTCCCCACCCCAGTATGGTCACAGTGTCCAGTTATGAATCATCCATTTGTTTTGGGAACAGTTCATTTCTCTGTTGGACACCTGCATCAGTGTCCTTGGTGGGATCTTGTCTCTAGAGCGTCTGCATTCTTTCTACCCTTCTCTCTGCCCAGTTCGTTGGCAAGTTGAATAGCGTTAAAACCTAAATGTTTCAAAAGTGGTTCAACTTTGACAATAAATTTTGCTACTGATAATTTCTCACAGCCTGTGGTTTGACTGAACCTGAACCTGTCAACACTACTGAGGAAACAGACATTGATGCTGTGGATATCAGACGACCAGGGAGTGATCACTTGGAGTTTACCAGGGGCGTGACAGATCTTGACGCTGTTGGTAAAGAGAAGTCTGGTCTTCTTTGCATCAAGGTATATGTATCCTTGTCAGTGTTGGCTTATGTTCAAAGAATACAGCTCTAGGAAGAGTATAGCTCTGCCTTTTATAGAATAAAAAAATGTAACTGATATATAGTCCACCACCTTCTGTACGCTATTTTAATCCTAAAGTGAAAGTAATCAGAAAAACAAATCAAATAAAATTCTTATGTTCTTGAATTGAAAAACTGTTTTTTTTATTTTTCTTGCATTGTTCATGAGAAATATATCATTTCATTAATATATATTAAAATATATCATTTCATTAATGAGAATTATCTATTCATAGATAATTTGTGGGGATTATATATTCATATTCATATATCAGATATAATCACTCCACTCAGTAGAGCCTTTCTCAAATGAATGTTATTGTAATACATGTCAGCCCATTCCAAGTGTTCTCAGCAAATGATCTCTATTTTTGATGCCACACAATATTTAAAAACTTTGTACTTCAGAAGGCAGCTTTTTTCTGTTTTGCTTCCAGATGTCTACCCGTTTGCCTTCTCCATCTCCTCCATTTGATATTGGCAGGAAACAATGATATTTTAAAGTCTCTAATGTTAAGATGGCTACATACATAGATGAAAAATTACTGGATACTTTCCATATTAGCCAGAATAATAAGAACAGGTCATCTTGGATCGAGGCCTTTCTGCATCGTCATGGTTGATGCTATTACTTTTTTTTTAATTGGGCAAAGAAAAAGTAATATGGATGATTTCCACAAAACCATGAATGAGCTGAAGTAGATTATCCTGCTTAGTTGTGCTTGCTGAGTTATTTGAGCACTGGAATCTCTGTGGTCTCTTTCCTAATGTAGAGTGTAACTGTGCTTTGGTTGTGCCATTGTAGCTCCTCCTTTCTGCCTATTGGGTGGGGAAGAATTATGTTTCTGAAAAATGAGAGATGTATACTGGGTATAGGGAAGTCTAAACTGAATCCTGCATTGATCACTGCGTATGCTTTTTTCATAGGACTTGGTTCACAAAGAGAATATCTTCATGGCTTCTCCTAAGATGCTTCTCCCTTCTTCTACCCAGTTGGCTGAGCCAGAGGTTCCTCTCTCTGCTCATCACCAAATGCAGTTTCTGCAACAGCTTTTGCAGCAGCAACAGCAACAGACTCAGTTCGCTGTGGCTCAGGTTATTATCTGTTTTGCAGGAAAATTAATTCAGGGGTGTCAAACTTGTGGTCCGTGAGCCGGATGCGTCACGCGCTAGCCACGCCTACACCCGGTTTAGCGAAGGGGGAAAAGTCGCAATACGTCACATGATGATGCCATGATGAGGCGAGTTTGACACTCCTGATCTAATTGAAGAAAAGACTGAATAGAAATCCTATATAAAATAATCTGAACCATGTTAGTGCATGAAATGTTCCAACCTGAGCTCGGTTAATAGCAGTTGCCTATTCAATTGCAGTCCTTTACCTAAGAAAGAGCAAAAGATTTGAAGGAATAGAACCCTAGACCAGCAATTGCAATGCCAAATTCATTGCATAGCTGTCATGGAATATCCTTGTCTTTGCTGCCAAGATACTAAAATGAAAATGTAAGAATATTTGGTGGTTGTTGAGACAATACAACATTTGTTTTCTTACTTATGAACTGCTCTCTTGACAGTTCTACTGGAGACTGATATCACTCTGAATGTTTTTATTCTTAAGCAAATATCTTGGCTTCTCTTTAGTATCTAAGGACTCTGTAAATCATTTGGTGGGTGGGATCTTCTCGTCAGTCTTCTGCAGGCCCTAAAGACAGTTTCAATAGCTATCTCAGGGGAAGTAATATTGAAGTATATTCAGCCTCCTTTCATATCTATATTCAGAGTGTAAGTTTTCTTATAAATCTTCTTTACTGTCTACTTTTCACTGCAGCTATGTATAATCATGTGCTTTTTGTTTCTGTTCTGCAGGTACATCTGTTGAAAGACCAATTAGCTACAGAGGCAGCTGCCCGCCTTGAGGCCCAGGCTCGAGTACACCAGCTCTTGCTTCGGAATAAGGACCTTCTCCAGCATATATCACTTCTAGTAAAGCAAGTGCAGGAACTGGAGGCAAAACTGCTGGGAATCAACACCAGTAAGAGCTCTTCCTTCTCCTGTCTATAAAAACCATTTCTTTTCCTGTTTTAGTTTTCTGTTCAGAACACACTTTCCATTTGTCTTTAATGCTGTATTTTTCTTTACAGCAAGTTATATCAAGTTATATCTGTACCAAATGTAAACTAATTGAATTACTTGAGGAAAAATTAAAGTGTTTATAGGAAAAAGCAAAGGGATCTAGAGTAGGAGTGTCAAACTCAAGACTTAAATCCAGCCCATGGGGCTGGCCTGGAAATATCAAAGGACCGGCTTGCATTGCCTCTGCTGACCAAAATGGGCCATGTGCCCCTCCCCGGCCCATTTTTAGCCGGCAGAGTGCTCTTGGAGGCTGAGGAGGCTGAAAATGGGCTGAGGGGAGGCCCCGCAGCAGAGTGCTGAAGGAGGCCATGGAGGGCAAAAATATTAATCTTTGATTAAGGACTCTTTCAGTGCCATTAGTAGGTTGCCAGCTACCTCTGGTTTGGATTTTTTTCTGAGCCCTGGATTTTTTTCTGAGCCCTCAGCCTCAGCAGAGGCTGAGTGGGTCTATTTGTTGTTTAGTAATTTCCTCTAGCCATTTTCTTAATTTTATCCAATAAATAAAATAATTTCTTTGGTTCTGGGCATGTCCACTACATGTGATAATATGTTCCCTGCTTCTGTTTGCATTTCCAACATTCCGCTGATCTGTTTGGAGACATTTTTGCTAATCTCTGTGGGGGCAAATGCCAGCGATAAAACATTTTATATAAAATTTCTTTGTATGGCGCTGACATTGTCAACTTATAATATTTTTCCCACATTTTTTCCCAGTTCTCTAATTCTATGGTGTAGCCAAAAATTTTTGCCCAGGTTATCATAGTTTCTTTTCTTTTCTTTTTTTTTTTTAATTGAAAAAGTTTTACAAACAACAATTTTTCCCCCAATTTCCCCCCCATCCCTCCCTAACCGCCCCAAACCCTCCCTCCCCATGACTTCCCCAGGGTGAAATCCATCCACATTGTGCTATATCATACTTTACTACCCCTCTATTCTCCTCCCTATGCGCTATACATTTCTATATCACAATAAGCTATTTTGCCCCCTATAAACTATACATTTCTACACAACATTTATCTAAAAACTATCTGGTACTTCCTGGTTTGGTATTTATTCTGCACATAATCTATCCAATTCCTCCACTCCCATACATAAGTCTCTTGAGTCTGATCTTTTAAGTATGCTGATATCTTCGCCATTTCTGCAAAACTGGCCATCTTCAAAGTCCATTCTTGAATTGTAGGCACATCAACCCTTTTCCAGTATTGACCAATCAATAACCTGGCTGCTGTCACCATATGCAATATCAATTTTGTTTCACCCACTGAAAAACCCTTAACTATACCCAGTAAAAACAAATGTGGAGAAAATTGAATTTTTTTCTTTAAAACATTTTGCATAACCCACCAAATCTTTATCCAGAAAGCCTTAACTTTCTTGCATGTCCACCATATATGATAATATGTAGCATCTAAACAATCGCATCTCCAACATTTCGGTTGAACATTGGGATACATACATGACAAGTTTTTGGGATCTAAATGCCACCTATAAAACATTTTGTAAAAATTTTCCCTTAAGTTTTGCAACTGTGTAAACTTAACATTCTGAACCCATATTTTTCCCATGTTTCCATCATAACTGGTTCTCCAAAATTTTGCACCCATTTTATCATACAATCTTTAACCAATTCATTTTCTGAATCTCTTTCTAACAAGACATTATAAATCCTCTTAATATGCATTGGACCTTTCTCTTTTATCTCTCTAACCAATTCTTCTTCATGCAACATTAAACATTTTTGATCTTCTCTCCATCTCAATTGAAGTTGATTATACTGCAACCAAGTTAAATTAATCCCCTCTTCCAACAGCGTATTCAATGTTTTTAGTTGCCATCTGCCCCCATCATTAAAAAGTACTTCTTTATATGAACCCCCCCCCGAGTGACTTTATATTTATATTCCATATGATGTGACCAAGATTCAACCACAACGGTATTTTGTAATCCCATTTGAATCGGTGCTTCTTCCATACTCTCATCAAGGAGCTTCTAAATATATGACTATTAAATACTTTGTCAACCTTGTTTTCATAAAATAAATATGCATGCCAACCATATTCAAGATCATGACTTTCTATATTCAATATTCCAGTCTTTGTCCTTCCAAACCAATCACTTGCTTGTGTAAACGCTGCAGCTTCATAATATAATCTCAGGTTTGGAAGTTTAAGACCACCCCTTTCACGAACATCTTGCATAATTTTCAGTTTAACTCTTGGTTTTTTCTCATTCCAAACAAACTTGTTCACTCCTTTTTGCCATTCAGTCAAGTATTTATCACTTTTAAGCACCGGAATCATTTGAAACAGAAATAAAAATCTAGGTAGAACATTCATTTTAACTGCTGCTATTCTTCCAAGTAAAGACAACTGCAGTTTTTTCCAGGTTTCCATATCCTTTTGTACCTTTTGCCACAGCACCTCGTAATTATTCTGAAACAGTTTTATATTTGAATCTGCAACTTGAACTCCTAGATATCTCACTTTTGATACTATTTCAAAGCCTGCCTTCCTTTCCAGTTGCTTCTTTTGATCAACTGTCATATTTTTAACTATCATCTTGGTTTTTTTCTGATTCAGTCTAAATCCTGACACCATACCATATTCTTCTATAATGTCTTTCATCTGAATTATTGATTCCATCGGCTGCATTAGGATAACAACCAGATCATCTGCAAATGCCCTTATTCTGTAATCATCTTGCCTTATCACTATTCCCTTCAAAGTGTTCGAATCCCGTATTGTGTTCAACAAGACTTCTAAAGATAAACAACAACGGGGATAACGGACAACCTTGTCTTGTACCTTTTTCTATACTAAAGTTTGTAGTTAAACTTCCATTAATAATAATTTATGCTGTTTGTTCTTGATAGATTGCTGAAATGGCCTGTAGAAACTGGTCCCCAAAACCCATCATTTTTAAAGTCTTTAATAGAAAGTTCCAATTCACTCGATCAAAGGCCTTCTCCGCATCCAAAAACGCCAGCACTGCAGAGATCTGTTTATTCTTCTCAAGATATTCCAATAAATCTATAATTTGCCTCACATTATCCTTCATATATCTGCCTTCTATAAATCCAGCTTGATCATGATGAATCACCTCTTGAATAACTGGCATTAATCTGTTGGCTAATACTTTCGCAAAGATTTTATATTCCGTATTCAGGAGAGATATTGGTCTAAAATTTTCCGGTTTTGTAGAATCTGCCTCCTCTTTCGGTATCAAAGAAACAAAAGCTGCTTTCCATGAAGAGGGTACTTTTCCCCCTTGTTGTATGCTACAAAATAAGTCTTTAAGATGTTCAATCATTTCTGCTTGTAAGGTTTTATAGTACACCGCAGTTAAACCATCCGGTCCTGGAGCTTTAGCTGTTTTCAGTTGTTTAATAGCAATAATAATCTCCTCAACTGTTATTGACAAACTCATTCTTTCTTTTTGAACATTAGAAATTTTTGTAACTCTCTTTTCTTCTAGATATTTATTTATAAGTTCATTCTGTATATCATCTTTAGCATATAATTTGGTATAATAATCTAAGAAGGCTTCTTTAATTAGTCTTTGTTGAAATACTTCCTTCCCTTTATACTCAATACTCCCAATAGTCCGAGTACTCTGCTGTTTCCTCAATGTGTAAGCCAACCACCTGCCCGGTTTATTGGCGTTACAAAATGTATTATGTTTCGTAAATTGTAAATTAGTTGCTGCTTGTTCCGCTGTAAGCATATGAAATTGATCTTTCAAAAGTTTTATAACTCCTTGTAATTTTTCATCTGTTGGATTTTTTATAAGTAACTGCTCTTTTTTCTTTATTTCCCCTTCCAATTCTAAGCTTTCTCTTCGTTGATTTGATTTATGTTTAGAGTTCATGTAAATCAGTACCCCCCGCATATAGGCCTTGCTCGCATCCCAAACAGTTTCAATAGGGGTACCTTTATTCAAGTTCATTTCAAAAAATTCCTTCATTTGTTTTTTAAGTTCATTTACATTTTTTTCATATCTGAATAAGTTTTCATTTAGTCTCCAAGATCTTCTCTCTTTCTTTCCCATTTCTATTTCTATCCATACTGGGCTGTGGTCAGATAAAATCCTCGGAAATATCTTTGTTTTCTTTGTTTTTAAAAGCAAGTCAACTTGCTTTTAAGTAAAATAAAGTCAATCCTAGAGAAGGATCTGTGTCTATCTGAGAAAAAAGTAAAGTCCAATTCTTTTGGGTTATGCACTCTCAATCTTTCAATCATAGTTTCTTTAACTGTTTCTTCTTCCATTTTGAATCTCAGTAAATAATTATATGGTTTTTTAATCATTTTTTCCTCTGTCCCCTATAGTATTTTATCCAGCTCTTGTTCCGTATAGAAACCATACTTTTCTACGTCTTTTTTGTATCTTGCCTGGATTTGCAAGTAAGGCCACCAATCTATTTCAATTCCCTGTTTTTTTAATTCCTGATTCGCTTTTAATTTACCTTGATCATCTAGTATGTCTTTGTATCTTGCTATTTTGTCTAAGTCTGGTATATTCAGGTATATTAGTGCTTCCATACTTGATAGCCAAACTGGTATTTTATTGTAGTGGTTCTTCTTTATTTTTCCCCATATTAGTAAAAAAGCATCTCTAATTTGATGTCTTTGAAAATAGGTATGTGTTTTGTTTTTCCCCTCCCATATAAAGGCATGCCAACCTAGTTGTAAATCGTGGCCTTCTATTGTCAGAGTCCTTTTATTTTTTAAATTTATCCAATCTTTTATCCATGTCAACGCTGCAGTTTGATAATATAATTCCCACTCTGGGAGTCCAAAACTGCCTTTATTTCTACTATCTTTTAATAATTTTAATTTTAATTTTGGTTTTTTCCATAGCCAAATAAATTTTGTTGTTATTTTGTTTAGATCTTCAAAA